ACTTTTTCTTGAGATATAGAATAACTATAAAACATAATAAATAATATAATAAATTATAATTGTTTATTCTTATAAATTGTTGTTTTATTTTGAAAGCTAGTTTCATAAATTCTTTCATCAACAAAAAAATACTAATTTTTGAAAAAAGTACAAAAATACTTTAACCATTGTTAACATATATATACTCAACTCACCTAGTTATAATTGATTCTCAATATATTTAATATTCATTTAATAACTAACACCGTAATAATTCAATTTTTATAAGTTCAAAAGGACTAGAGCTTTTAACCTAACATGAATTGTACCCTCATTAAACTAATCACTGATAAAATACTCATTCAAGTCAAATATATTCTCACTATCCATCTTTCAAGAAAGAATTGCTTATGCTAGCGTTATCTAACATGTGAAACATGAGTATAGTGCTTTGAATACTGCATGCAGATGTTATTAGCAATTTTCTTCTCCCCTTATTCTTGTTTCATTGAAGATTGCTTGTATGTTTTTCTAACTAGTTTGGATTTCTCTGTGCAGAAGCTGCACCAGTGGTTTGTAAACAGATTGGGTCCTCATAAGCAAACCTTTTCTTTGGAAAATGTACATCATAGATCCAAATCAACATCTTCATTGACCCTACAAATTGTTTGATACCAAAACCAACGGCAAAGATGCAAACACTTTTGTTATTTGACTAACAGTAAGAGTGTTGTGTTAGTTAATTGATGCTATACATCAATTTCTTTCCAACTTGAAAGAAATGCAACATACCTTTTTTTTTTTTGGTTAAATAATTGTGTTTCAGATCATTTATTATTATTTTGGAGTTGTTTGTCTGTTCATATATTTTGCATTCTAGTTTCTTAGTAAATTAGTATTTTATTTTTGATTAACTAAAATTCCTTTTTGAGATTAAAGTTTTAGTATATTTAGTTTACTTTATGTTCTGTAAATTTATACTTTATTTTCTATACTTTATTATTATTTATTGAAATCTATTATATCGGCATCCACCATTTGTAGATTATCAAATTTACATGTGTTTGTGCTTGATAAATCTAAATTTTATATATTTTTTACATGTCTTTTAATTTTAATTTTCAGTTCTTTGAGTTGTTTGAGACTTATTTTATTTGATTTTACATATGTTTAATTTGTTTTGTGTAGGTAAGCACTAAATTGCAAGAACGTGGAATTATTAAGACTAAACCAAAGAAATCAAAATTAGGAAGATCAAAGTGTCAATTTTTTTAAAAGAATGAGGGGTCCAAACAGTTTTAACAATGAAAAGTCCAAACAGCTTTAAAGGGCAAAATCTCGACACGGACTCTTCTTCGTTGATACAGAGAAGGTGTCGACACTTTGTGTTAGTGTACCGACACCTTAGGCGATTTCGAGATTTTAACGGAGTCCTTATTGTTTTGAAATGGGTTCCACCCCTATTACAATTGGGTTTTCTAGAAATATTTATCCAGTATCCGAATTAAAGGCAGTCGGCTGAGGAGTAGATTTTTCTAGCAAGAGGAAGAGGAGGAACTCCAGTGAAAAAGAGAAAAATTCTTTAGTGGTGACATTGATCAATTTTGGACTTTTTTTTTTATTTTTATTGAGAATGAGATTTTTTTTTTATAATTGATTTCTAGACATTAAATTATGAACTAAGTTTTTTTTTTTTGAGTTTCAATTAGATTTGAACTATGAATCTTCAAGTTAAGTTGAATTTAATTTTTTTATTAATTTTTTATTCAAGTGATTACTTTATTTTATATTTAATATTTTTAGTTAATTTAATGTTATAAATTTTAATTAAAAATTGCAAACCGTTATTTGTGTCAATCAGTTACAAATCCGTTGTTTTTCAAAAAAATTAAATTTGTGTAGTAATTCATTAGTTAAAAATCCATCTTTTGAACCAGCTACATACCTAACCGTTTCATTGAAAATATTTTAAACTTGCCAACAGTTTTCTTACTATTCAACTATTCCAAAATAAATTCATAAGCGTTTCGTCAAAAACGTTTTAAACTTACTACTAGTCCTACTATTCAGCTATTCCAAAATAAATTTATATAATTTGTGAGATTTTGTGGCAACAATTGTATTGGAATCAGGTTTATAATTTGTGATGTTCTGTTCCAGGGATTAGGGAAGGAAAGATTTTTGTGTGGGAACTGCAAAGCAGCCCCCAGTTCTCATAGCAAAGTCAGTCATTTTCCTTTCCCTCATATTTTTGTTAAAATTACTTCATAGTATGTGTTTTGACCCTTATGTTCCCCATCAGGCTATCTCATGGTCAATCAAAGTCCCCAATTAGGCAGGCTGCCATGTCCTTGGACGGAAGGTAACTACTTCATGTATGTTGTCATATATATGTGAGAGAAGGGAATCACCAAACTAATCTTTGTTCTTTTGCTTGATGCAGCACCATTCTCAGCTGCTGCGAGGATGGGACAATATGGCGCTGGGATGCTGTAGCAATGGATTACTCCAAGTAGGTCTAATCAGAGTAATATTTCAGGATTTTTTGCTGTCCAATTTACTTTTGGTTAATACCAAGAACCTAAGGTTAAATCTTGTATTTGGTTGATGTAGAAGTCAAAGTTGCATTCAAACTTTGATCCAGGAATAGATGATTCTCATGTGCTACTCAAAGACCCCATGAATCAAAGACCAAAAATCATTCAAGATTCATTAATCTGGGCAAAATTCTAATTTTGCTTGTCAAACTTGACACTACTCCCTGGAAAAGCATAACAATTGAGGCATGAAACATTTGAATTATTGCAAATATTGAAGGGAAAAATTGGCATGCTTTGATACAAAATTTCTGGGATAACTCATATAAAACAGCTTTTCTTTGTGCCTGATTGATACGTATTCATGTGATAAAATTGTCACACATGTATTCATGTGTATTCTATATACACAAAAGAATGTGATAGACTATTTCACTGCGATGATTTCTTCTTTTTCTTCTTTCTCGGCCACCATTGGGATGCTTTCTTCAATCCCATGATTTTACCACAAAGAATAGGGCAGGAAACAAGACCCATCAAATTTGACTCTGCAATTGCACCAACAAACTCCGCATACCTTCAAGTTTCTGACTCAATTCTCTAATATTAGCAAGATGCTCTTCAGGAGATTCTGAACTGGATAAGTTGGTAATGAGGGCGGTACACTTGGCTTGTGAATCCAAAACTGCCTCCTTCAGTGAGGCTCCGGTTGATCCTAGAGTTGACCGTGGGGTTTCATGCGCAATATATGATCTAGGAGATTGCCCAATACTGCCAGCACTACTGCCCCTACTGAGGGCATGTTTGGTGCAGCTCCTAAGAGCTTCAGATTTTGCACACTATTCATGTCTCATGAATTTAAATTTCCCTCTTAAAAACTTACACTTTTAAATATTTTTTTAACCTCAAAAAGCACTTAAACAGTAAAAGCTCAAAAGTTTCAAATCCAAACTTTTCATAAACTCTCATTTTACTTACTTTTCACTTACTTTTTTACCTTTTTAAAAGCTAAAGCTCTATTTTCCCTCCAATAAAAATTTAAACTTATCACTCATAACAGTACTCAAAAAGCTAAAGCTCCCACCAGCCACACCAAACAGGCTCTGAGATTATCCTGGGAGAAGATCTTTTCAAAGCCCTCCGTTCCTGGAATCACCAATTTTTAGTTATTGAGTTCCAAGCAAAGTAAAGAGTAAGAAGAAGACATGAAGAAGTGGGCTACGCAGTGAAAAATTGAAAAGATAGGAAAATAAACATATCATTTGTAATGACTAACAGTTCCTAGTAATAGTTGCCATATTATCATTTCCTCAGGCAAGGAAGCAAACAAATGGCAGTTAATATCATTAATCACATTTTAATTGAATGCATTTGGATAGGCTTGATTTAGTCCAAATATACTG